GGAGGGGGTTGCGGATGGGAGGTGGGTCCGAAAATCACCGTAGAGAGCTTCACCATTCAGCACCTACCTAACAACATGTTTATTTTCTTGTTGTTGTCGTTGAGTCCCGACCGTTTGCAGAAAATTCTGTGCCTTGTTCGGATTTTTTTATTTTTTTTTTATTTTTTTCCCGTCGAGTTCACAACCTCCCCTTATTCGACACGTCGGCTTTTATAGCCGCGGAGGGTATGAAAAAAAAAACAAAAAAAAAAAAACGACAAAGCCGCCCCTCCCGCTAGTCCCCCAAAACAACTCTCACCGCCACTTCCTCTCTCATGTCGAGACGCTTCATTGCAACAATCCAGTGTATATCTCCGATATATCTCCGACCATTATATAACCCACCCTTTGGGGGGGGGGGGGGAAATGCATGGAATGCTTTACCATATCATTGTACATAATTATAAGAAACAGTTGTGGACTTTAGATGCCCCCAGACGCTCCCCCAAACTCCTCACTCCTTCTCAAATACGACTGACCACCTTCAGTGTATAATCAAAAGGAAGGCAGCAAAAAAAAAAAAAAAACAACAGAAAACATTTTTTAAGAATCTCACGTTTGGTCACCTCCGTTTTTAAGCGCCGCCCGCACAATGCCCGCCATGTCATGATTTGGATTTCACACTCTGCGCTGTATTATCTCCTTTTGCTTTCCCGCCGTTTCCTCGCAAGCTCTCATTGAGTCACGATGGCAAGCCACAATTGAATTCCCCCGCCGGCGCCGCAAGAAAATGTGAAAGATTTGGCAAACGCCCCGACATCCATTGTGTGTCGTTTTCATTAGGACTGAGGGTGAGCCGCAACTCATCCCTGATGAAAACGCAGCTTAGCATCAACAATCTGTCCGGTCTAAATGGTTTAGATTCAGTCCAAAATTCCGCCCTGGCTAGGTGGTTTTCAAACGCACGCCAAGACGAAGACGCGAGTGTCATTCGTTTTTCGAGTATACGCGGTAGAAATGTGGTGGCAAAAATATCTCGAGTACAACGTCCGAGGAAACTGCCAGAAGCATCAATCGAGAAACAACTACTCGACCAACGGACAAGGTCTTTTTAAGGACTGAACATGAGACATTGAAAAGCCATAACATTTGCCCTTCAAAATTTTTTTCTGGGTAACTTCAATCTTTAAAAGACTGTTCAAATAACTCCAAAACGTCTCATTTCAAGAAAAATCAACGGCCAGGCAAACCTTGGACCGCTGCGCTGTGCTTTGCTGTGCCGTGCTCCTATTGGCCAGTTTGCATTAGGGGGGTGTGGCTTAGTGACAGGGCAGTTCGTACAAAAGTATATATATATAATTTTTTGGACATTACCCATTCCTAGTGTGCTTTTTTTTCTTATTTTTTTCGAACTTTCAACTTGCATGAATGTACGTGCTGTGTTTCTTCTCACTTTTTTTTTTTTTTTTGTATCACCGGCCAAAGCAAAAAGGATTTTTTTTTTCAGTGGCGGCAGGCAGGGAGCGGAGGAACGCCAAAAGTCGGCATCGGGATTTTGCATGAAGGCGCTCGCGTCTTGGGGTTGCGGCGTAGTAGGTCCCATTTGGACGCCGTCATTTGTTTGTCGATGTTTATGTGTTCACACAGGAAGCAGCATGCCTAACAAGTTTGACTGAATGGCTACCGTTCCACGATATGGTTGCGAACATTTCGTTACAATTCAGCCAATTTGTTCTCCTCGTTGATTAAATGTACGTCATTTCGTCACAATTTTCACAATCACAGCTTGTCGACATTTTTTTTTTTTTTGAGACACAATTTAATGTGGCAATGTTAATACAGTCATACAAGCATATCCGTTTCCTTCAGGCTGAAAAGGACGATAAAATCGTAAACAACTTTGAATTTCAGGTTTGAAATCAGACAAAAAAAAAAAAAATTTGATTATAGCACCATGAGTGTCTAAAAATTTGCCAAGCCCGTGACAACAACACAGAAACTAAAATAGCAAAAGACCACTTTTGAGTTCTCCCCGCAATGTTTTGCTTTATTTTTTTTAATCCGAAAAATGGAAAAAAGGTGTTTCATTTCCCCCAAAAAAAAAGTAAGACATTTTAACAGACTTTCCTTTCTTTGGATAGCAATTGGAAAGACATTGCTTATTAGTATTTAAAAAAAATTTTGAATAAATCATGTGGCAACTTTCACTTTTTTTCATGAACCCTTTTGTCAAAATTTTACTTCTTTTGGGAGTCCTTGAAGTGGCTCTCACCTAAAAATATATATATAAAATTCATAATTTTGGCCATGTATATCAAACAATGGGGAATCTTACTCATTTAACAAAGACACCATTTAATTTTATTTTTATTTTTTTAAATCTAAAATATTCCCGAAAATTTGTGTTGTTGTTCGCGTCTCATCGTAAAAGTGTACTTGCTCACTGTGTGGACACATTCAACACTTTACTGGCATGTTTGGCAACGCAAAATTGTGAACCATCCGCATTCCATCCGACAGCTTTAAGCGTGAAAAGAATAAAAGAGAAAAAAAAAAAAAAAGACAATTCACTTGAATCACAACACCTTTCAAACCTGAGCGAGAGTTTTGGGCATTTTTTTGTTTTTCCGCTGGATAGATTAATCCTTTCATGCAACCTGTAAGATGATAACACGCTGTAGTAACGGTTGTCCCTGAAAGGGTTAACCAGAAATGGGGGCAACCGAACGGGCGTTGCAGATAAGATGAGACCCTTCCGATTTTTTGATTGATCGATTCAGTTCTGCACTCACAAAGGAGTTTTGCGTTAACACTGTATATGTCGATGACACTGTTTGTTGTTCGTTACGTGGTCGGGGTCGGGAACGGGAAAAGGTTCAAATTGTGATGTTTCATGGTCAATTATTATTATTATTATTATTATTAGCGTTTTTACCGTTGCTTTTTGAGAATCGCAGAGCAGCAGATTTGCCTTCTTGGAACAAGACTTCAAGATATACTTCCCAATAAATGGCCAACATTGTCCGACGCGACACTTTTCACCAAACCGAGGTTGACGAGTTATTATGTGATTTGCACAAATTCAAATTGTTTTCCATTTTGTTTTTTGTTTTTTTTTTCCATGAAAAATATACTGCTAATTATTTTTTACAATGAATCCAAAGTACATACATTGAGTTACCTGGCTGCCCAAGATATTGGTCAAATGGTCAGTAAGTCTAAATTTGGGGGACTAACTGACCAAAATGTATGTCATCCTAAATTTAGGAAAGCTTGATTTATAGAAGCAGTAGAACTTGTCGCGTCTAATATCAAATGGCCACTACAGTGGACGCCACGGAAAAGCCAACTGCGAAAAAAGACGAATCATATATGAGGTCATCCTAATTGATTGAGTTTTTGTTTTTTCCTGAAAAAAAGTGGACATAAGCAGAGCATTGGATAAGAAAAAGAAAGAAATCAAAATTACCACAAGCGGTGAAATTGAGAAAGAAAAAAAAGAATTTAAAAATTGAAATAGTGGATGTTTAAAATATTTCAGATACAAACAAAAAACTGACAAAATGGACAAAAATTTGCTGTGTAAATTATGGATTAAAAGGAAAACACTCCCAAAATCTGGACATACCGTATATGCTTTTTTTCGGATCAGGACAAGGTGAACACAAATTTTAGAACTTTAGTTTTTTTGTTGTTGTTTTTTTAAATGCGAAATGATGTATTCCATTCCATCTCTGTGAAATTAAATGGGGTTTTAAATTCAAGGATTCGGTGGTAGGTAAAATAGCGGAATAAATACGTGAAGTGTATTTTCTACTAAATGTCCATTCAAGTCACAAAAAAAAAAAAAAAATTGTGTTGAAAAGTTTTTTTTTTTCTGTAGTACAGGTTTTTTTGGGTTTGTTTTTAATAATGCCCTCAGGTTCATGTGTGACTTCACTCACTTTCAGTGACATCAAAACAAAAACGTCCAACATGGAAATTGACGGTAAATTGGTGCGCTATTTAGCCTCTGTGTTGTACATGCTTTCTGTATTTTTCTTAATTAATATTTGGTGCACTGTAAAAGTTGTGCAAGTACTCCTTTGTGTTGACATAAAGTGTACAGGGATCCGAAAAGTTGTCGTATTAACTGTCCACCTCGAACACACCGCCGCCTTTGGAAGCTCCAAAAAAAAAAAAAAAAAGAAAAAAAAATTCTTTGGATTCGTGTCATCGGTCATTGTTAGTTTTTGTTTGGTTCTTTGGATATTTTTGGTCTCTCTGCTGTTCCTGGGAAATGTTCATGTGTGTTAACGTAGGAGAGGAGATCCACATTCCCATACACATTTTGTATTGGTTCATAAATAGACATTTTTACAAAAAAAAAAAAAAATAGAGTTCTTGTCTTAATAAAAAAAGAAATATCAATGTCTGAAACAACTAGCGTTGTTTTTGATTGTTCTTCCATCTTTGAATGTTAATGAAATGATGAGAAACATGCTTTAAAAGAAGCACCAAATTTCAAGACCGATGGTTTGAATTTTCGGAAAGGAAAGAAAAACTCCATTCAGTCATGCCTACCATGTTTTCATATAAAAAAAAAAAAAAATCATCATCATCTTTGCAAAAGTCTCATAAAACTCTGCCAATCGATTTTATGCTGAAGAATGTGAACGGTTCACCCCCCCACCAAAAATATAAATAAATAAAATAAAATGCCGCCAGACCGGTTATGGATTGCATCTCAGTCAATGGTGACGAGAAGCGAGTTTTAGCCCTTATAAAAATGTATTCCTCCATTCTTATTTAATGTCCGTCGCGGTTCTATTAAGTATTCCGCTGACGTGTGGCACGGAGGAAGATATTATCTTTTTA